ACCAGGGAATTTCCTCTTCCTGCTTCTTAAAATGACAAGTGATTTTTAAAAAATTGGAACCTGAAACTATCACAATGTTGTTAACTGGCTATACTCCAATATAAAATGAAAAGTTTAAAAAAAATAAATAAAAATAAAATAAAAAATTGGAACCAGGAAATTTTGAGTATTCTGAGGCTCTGAATCTAATTTAAATATTCCAGTTGGTGCTTTTGACACTGTCAGCTCAGAGGAAGAGGGTGCAGCTTGTTATTGAGCTGGTAGAGCTGGAAGTCCATGTTCCTCACTCAGCCTCCGCTGACACCCACAGTGGGGGTAGGGGCCTTTACTTTCGGACAGTGTGGTCTGAGGGTTTGTGCTCCCTCCAGAATTCATTGTTGAAATCCTAATGCCTGATGCAATCATTTTAGGACATGGAGGCTTTGGGAGTTGATTAGGTCATGAGGGCAGAGACCTCATGAATGAGATTAATGCCCTTAGAAGAGAGACCACAGAGCTTCCTTGCCCCTTCTGCCTTGTGACGACACAATGAGAAGTGTGAAATCCAGAACGGGGCCCTCATTTGACCTCAGCAGAACCTGGATCTTGGACTTGCGGCCTTGAGAACTGAGAAATAATTCATGTTGTTCATAAGCTGCACACTCTGTCGTGTTTTGTTACAGCAGTCTTAACAAAGACAGTGGGAGTGGAATTTCTGACTCCCCTGGTGGTTTCCGTCGCCACTGGTGAGGTGGCCTTATTACTGTCAGGCCTCCACTGCTAGTCCTTTGATAACTACTAAGAGTCATTAACATATGCATGCTTGTTACTGAAAATCCCCAGTCTGATAACTTTAAAATCTCTGCCATATCTGAATCTGATTTTGATGCTTGGTTTGTTTCTTCAGACTATATTCTTTGCCTTTTAGTATGCTTTGTAATTCTTTTTGTTGAAAGCTGGGCATGATGTATTGGGTTAAAAGACAGACCTTTAATGTGAAATTTTATCTGGTGAGACGTTAGGCTTCGTTTCATTCTGGAGAGCTGTGTTGTAGAGCCTGAAATTTCCTCCACTGTCCCAGGTGGTGTCTCACCTGTTGTCTTTTCCTGGAGATTCCTCAGACAGTAAGTAGTTTCCCTTGAGTGTTTCTCCTTCCTTAAAAAAAGGAGAATAGAGATTTGGGGCATATTTGAAAACTGGTTTCTTTTCCCCTTACCCTGCTGGAAACAGGAGGGGATTTCTCTCTGATCTTAACAATGAGGATGTGGTAGGGCTCAGGGGCTAAAAGTCAGGAAAGCGTGAAGGCCCTGTCATAGGAGCACCTCAGAGGTTTTGATTCCCCAGTTAGTCTACACCGAGCTCCCAGCCGTTTGTCAGATACAGCCCGTAGCTTTCCTCTTGGCACTGGTTCTGACTTTGGGCTTCTGCTGTGCTGTGCTGTGAGTGAGTCTCTGTATTTGATGGTTTCTCCAGGCTCAGACAGTAAAGCGTCTGCCTACAATGCGGGAGACCCCGGTTCGATCCCTGGGTTGGGGATATCCTCTGGAGAAGGAAATGGCAACCCACTCCAGTACTGTTGCCTGGAAAATCCCATGGATGGAGGAGCCTGGTAGGCTACAGTCCATGGGGTTGCAAAGAGTCGGACAC